AGAGGCTTTCAGATTTTTTTTCCCTGGTGGGTTTTCTTTAGGTTTTAGTGCCGAGTTTTTTGAGGCTTTTCGTTTGGTTTTATATTTAGCAAATTTTACAATAATTTTCTGTGTATGTATGTCAGGCTGTTACTTCGGTCTCTGTAACAAGTTTTCCAAAGCCTTTGGATTGATCTGTACCTATATCAGTACAAAAATGTGTGTGACACTTGCTCTTGTAAGTCCAGTGTGCTGTAGTTGGGGTCCTGAAACATGATACTGAGTGGTTATCTTAGAAAAAGGAACAAGAGGAACCTGAGGAACCAGACTCACCTATTTCATGCTGTGCACTGCAGTATTTCCTGTGTAACTTATATAAAGTTTATATCAGTTTTTCCCTTGTCAGTTGTAGCTGTGCTGTTAAGCTGTCTCCAGCAGTGCTGTATTCACAGCACATTGGATTTTTTTGCACTGGATGAGTGAATGTGACCTGAGGTTTCCTTCCCATGTGGCAAGGTGGGGGTAGAAGAGGGAGGTTTCTGTATTTAACATTGGCTTTTTTTTTTCTTGAGTCTGTTGGGTCTGAAGCCCACATGTGGACACGAGGTAAGTAATGATGGCCAAGAAGATGACTGGGACAGTTTTCAAAGCCCTAGGCCTCCAAGGAAACAGAGAAACAGCCTGGTTTCTTGATCTAGAAAAGTATTGAAGAAAAGGCACAAGATGATTCAAATGCATGGCAGGGTACTAGAGAGAGGAAGGGAATAATCAGCTATCCATGTCTGCTGAGAAAAGAACAGGACATAAATAACTAAGGCGAAAGCTCAACTTAAGGAAGGCAGTTGGGGATTCATTTTGATCACATGGGTAGTTAACTGCAGAAATGTATTCTCTGAGGAGGTTATTGCTTCCCTGGCAGGTTTTCAGAACAGCTCATATTCTCTGCCACGTTCCCTTTGCCAATACTCTCCATATTGCGGAGTGGATAATTTCTGGTAAACTTCCTTGCCCAAGCAGCCAGCCAAACTGACACTTGCGTGATCCACTGGGTGTGTTACAGCAGTCATGGGACCACACTTCACAAGGCCCTGAAGTGCCATGACTTTTCACAGCTCGGCTTTTATAGCAGATGGAAAAGCACTTGTCTTGATTTTTTTTCGTTTATTTCTCAGGGAGGGGATTATGATGTAGGTTCTGCTTGTAAAGCATTTCAATTTTGATAGCATTTGAAGGTACTTTACATCACTGTAACTGGTAAGACTAGTATAATAGGAAATAACTTAGAAACACTACGGTAAGCCACAGTCTCCACTAACTGTTCAGTTTGTCATCATATTTCTTGTCTGTGCAGAGAATCAGATAAAAATGATGCATAGAAGACTTGGTCTATATCTAGAAAGTGTGTTTCTTACTCCAGAAAGCTTTATTAAAAAAAAAAAAAAAAAAAGCTATTAGGAAGCTGAAATTATTTTTTTCCTGTATTTAACAAAATCACAGCACTTCTGGTTTCCTGGGCACTGCAAACTCAAAGCTTTCTGAATGAGCGTGTGTGTGCTTGTTTACTGCTGTAGGTAAAATAAAAACCTTCTCTTTTCTGCTTCCTCTTAGAAAGGAGATGTAGAGAGATTATAAAAGTGAGCAAGGGTCAAAGCCTGTTTTTCCTGTGATATGGATGCATCAAAAATAATGGCAACTGATCGTGGGAGTCATTCAGTCCACCTATTTCAATCCATTTCTTTGGGATGAAGTGTGAGATTGCTCCTGAGAGTGCATGTCCCAATAAAATAGATGGGACATGCCACTTTCCCAGGAAGTCTGCTAAACAACGTGCCTAGAAAGTAGGTTGTTGTGGCAAGAGAGAGCCTAGTTTCTAGATCCTACCCATGGTGTTCGAGTTTCCTAGAATGCATTCATATTTTATATTAGCTCCACAGCAAATAAAAAATAGGACCGGAAGGTCTAGAAACCTCAGCCACTCAGCTGAGCATCATTGCCATCAGAGGCTCAACTTCTAGGGGAGACATGAAGAATGCTGTTCCTCTTAATACCTTGTGGCCACAGATGCAAGAGGCATGGATGGATGGATGGATGGATGGATGGATGGATGGATGGATGGAGTCAGTCCTCCTAGGGTGATTTGTGCCTACAGCCTCCCATTTTCTGCTGAGTGCTATGGCCACTGGGCTGCAAAAAACCAGTGGCACTGTTGTCATTTAGCTTGAATCATAATCTTTATCAGATCTAACCACTGGTTTAAATGGATTTTAAGTGTGTGTCTGCCTAAATCTGATCACAGCAGGGCTTGCAATGCCCTATGTCCCTGGAAAAACAGTGGGAGGAAGTTGTTGATAAAGTTAGATGCATTGTGAAGGATTATGTCTAGTGGCTATAAGAGACCTGGGAAGAAATTGAGAAAAGCCTTGCATGGATGCATGTGAGCTGCTGATGCATGAATTCCAACTCTGTTCAGCTAGATATACAGTTCATGTTTGGTTTTTCCTTGGAGTACATTTCTACGAGGATGTTAGGATCAACTTGAATTCTTACAAGAATCTGCCAGTTTTCCTTGTTTTTGAAACAACTAACTCATTGAAACTTTTGTTGTTCTGCCAGTCACTGAATAGCTAGTCTGTTTTAATTTAAATGATGATTTGATTCCAGATTAAGCTAATTTTACACTGTACTCTAGGCATGTTTGAATTTGAGGGTGTGTTTTGGATTGCATGGTCAGCTTTAGCATTTTTTCCTTGTTAGCTGTCACTCCAGAACAACATAAACTGTGTTGCTACATGCATAGCACTTCCCTTGGCATGCCTCTTCTGCCCCCAGTGCCCCTGCAGGTGTAGGCTTTGTGGATCTGTGAACCCTAATCCTAATGGCCCCTAACTTGGGGCTGAGGCAGAGGTCCCCAGGACCAAGGATGGTCCAGATGAGAAAGGTGTGGAGGCAGTGATGTTACAGTGCCATAACTTCATCATCCTCTATGATGTCTTTTGTCTCTGCTTTATTCTTGGGTACTTCCAGATGATAGGAAAGTTATTCAACAAGTTATTCTTTCCCGAACCATCAGTGTTTTGAAAGACACTTCAGCAGAATGGACAGTTTAGGCTGGGATTTAAGTTCTAGAGAATTGTGATGTCTTTGATTAAAAAACATATGTTCAAGCTTATAATCTATATCCAAACTGAACTCTTAGTGATCTTCATGTGAAGACAGGTTGCTTGTATAAGTCAAGGGAAGTGATTCATACAATTAAATATGGAAACTTTATAGAGTACTTTCTGTAAAGTTCTTTCACATTTTTATATTTCTATAAAAATGCTTATCTCTACTTCCTTTTCAGTATGAAGAATAGTTCTGCCCTAACAGTTACATTCTGTTTTTAAAACACGCTGAACTAAAACCTAAGCCTGAACTTTACCATATTCTGGAAATATCAAATAAAGATCCAAGTCTGGTGACTTGAATCTGTTTTCACTTTCAGGCCTTTATTTGCCATCATTTCCATCAGTTTTGTATCAGTGTGATTCCATGAAGCCATTCAGGTTACACTGCTGTAACTGTAGCAATTTCGGGGAAATACCTTTCAGAACTTTCTCCGGGCAGGGTTGATTGAGCATCCCAGAGCTGTGAGTTCTGTGTCAGCACAGACACAGCTACCCTGGTTGGAATGCTCTGCAAGCAGTATTTTTCACAGGCTGTTCAACATATTTTTAGGGAAACTTATTTGAGTTGATCTGTTAGGAAATCACTCACAGTAAAATTCCAGACCCTTATTGCCTTGTTTGTGCTTAAGACAACTTCTGCTGCTTTCTAGTGAAATGTTTTTTGTGGAATGCAGCTTTAGAGTGGAGCTATTAAAAGGTGTTGGAAGCTGTTTTCATAGCCAAGCAAACGTGCGAAAACCCTACAGCATTAATTCCTGCCCCTTTCTCCTCTGTGTTGCTGAAGCATTGCCACCAGTAATATGATTTGGTCTCTGTGTCTCTGTGATGTTACTGTGTGCGGATTCATGTTTGAAGTATAATTCCTTTAAGTGTGTATTGCCACTGGTATTCAGAGCTTTGCATGTTTTCCTAATTTTGAAAGTGACAGATTTCTCTTGAAATTTTAAGATGATGATCTTAAACTGGCAAATGTTTTAAATAGTTCCATTGGCTTCCATTAAGTCTGGTATCTGGGATTAAAACTTTTAGAATTATCCAAGTGAGGACAATATAAACCATTTAACTTTGTTTCCAGAATATATTGATTTCCGTGTCAAAAAAGATCATTTTTTGTATATGTTTCATAAGCAGATCAATTAGTCATTATGTTAAAACGAGGAAAGGATCTATAAATAGCATCCAAGAAACTGACAGTCAGTTACAAAACTCCAGTAATGAATGTAAACATTTGCAATGAAAATGTTGATCTTTGTCATTGTGAGGTTGGGGGTTTTTCATTCTGCATAACAAGTGATACTTCTATTTTCATGATTCCTAAATTCATGGGAAAAAAAAAATACTTTATGCTTCTGTATAAGTGCTAACTCCACTGTTTTAGAAAAATCACAATGACAATTTACTAGAAGATATGATAGGTGAGGATGTGTTACCCTAATAAAGCTTTTGCTTTGCAGCTGAGAATACACAAGTCAGAACATTCCCTTGAACACAGCATACATTTTTTTTCTTTCTTTCCTTTTATTCTATGGGAAAGTAAGGAAATTCTGGCTTTATCTCTGCTAAGCAAATAGAAGTTAAACAAGTTTAAAAAAAAAATCTCTGCAATCTCTGTTCTGTACAGTGACAGTTGAAACACATGGAATAACTTACTCAAGTTATCTTTTAAATTCTCAGAAAACTCCCAGACCCTAAACTGAACCTGCTCCTAGACAGCAGTGCACTGCAGCAGGACGCTCTGTCAGGCAAGGAACGAGCTAGGGCAGTAACTGCTCAGGGCTGCTTTCCTATAAATGTCATGATGACGGTTGGCTCAATTGTTCTTGTCCTTTTGCAATGCATGCGACTTTATGGCAGTAGGTTACATTTCCAGACGGGCAATGCTTCAGCAATTACATGGAATCAGTACATTCTCACACGACGAGCGTCACTATACTGCTCGCACATGGATGAACAAAGGTAAGACTCAAAAGCACTGGCTTCATTTTTAACCTGGCATGCGGTTTGGAGTGTCCTGTGTATTTCTGTCGGTGAGGTGGGCAGCAAGTTAGAGGGTTTGCAGTTGCTTTTTAATCAGAAGACTTCTGTGTTTGTATGCTGCTGGCTCATAGCTTGAAGTTAACAACCAGTCCAGTGTTACAAAGGATGTTGGTTCCTGACTTTTCTCATTAACCCCAATTGTGTGTAAGAAGGAACTGAATGAAAACATTTTGAAGAAAGCAGGATTGCTGCTAGGAGAGTAGTGGTGTTTATATTGTGTGGTCTTAACGCATGAATGCAGCTTTTTGAAATGCTCTGACTGAGGGTAACAATGCTTTTGCTCAGAGCTGTGCATTGTCTAACATCCTGAACAGCAGCATGTCCCAAACTGTAGTCCTTGGTTAGCTCTCAGGGAACACTGGACCCCTCTGATGGTGCTCTCAGTTCCTCTGCTGCTACCTGCAGAAATAGCATGGAGACCTCTTTGGGAAAAAAGAAGAGCCAAGAAATCCAGGTCTATAAGAGGAAAAAGGATATGGTGGTCTGAGAGGGCTATATGGCAGCCAGTGGATCCTTGGAGTTGGATATGTGCCTCTCAGAGAAACGGGAATACTGGGCTTCCTCAAAGCAAGGGGCAATCCGGAGGCAGAAGCACATTTAAGAGAAAGTGTCATGTAGCAGGATGTTCTGCAGAGGAGAAGATGAAAAGAGCACTTAGTAGCCTTTCACAGGTGAATGTCCTGTCATCTCACTGAAGCAGATGGTCCAAATAAACTTTGAGCTGGTTTACAGGGAGTACCTGGAAGGTCCTGGTTCAGACTTCTGCAAAAAGGTGTTGTGGCTGACATTCTTGCTACACCCATCATGCAGAGTGAGAAAAGGAAAATATAAGAAAAAAAAAACAGAATATGGTCACTGGATTGGAGATTGCTACAGACTGGCAGGTCAACTTTGAGAAGACAGAATATCATTTTAAGACATAGCAATCATAATAGCAAAGGATATGCCATGGTTTTAAAATTTCTTTTATGTTTCTCTAGGATAACAATGGAGTGGTTTCGAGATAAAGAATTTGGGGTAGAATCTTTTGAGAAAGGAGTCCCAGGAAGCAAACCTTAACTAAATTTTATCCAGAAATCCAGGAACAGCAGAGATTTCTACCTTGCTTTAGAGCTAGCCAATAAAGTCACATAGCAATTGCAGGCTTTGCTGTTCAGATATGTTTAATGACAACAAATTTTGACATATGTCTTGCTGGTCTTTGGATTTTCAGTTTGAGTAGTGCATTTAATGGAAAATGGCACAGTATGTTCCCAAAAGGGTCCCAAAGATTCTATCTGTTAGTGTCAGTTTTGCAGAGATGTATTAGTTAACTGTACTGCACAGGAGTGAGGAACATTTCTTGTTAATTTAAGGAGGGAGAAAGCTTGATGACACATGCAAATGGCACATCATATATTTTAAGTTCTGTTTGTCGCCTACACTAACTGCATTTGTCCTTTCAACGTCTTTCTTAGTTTGAGCCCCACCATATTTGAATTTTATGTGACTGTGATATTAATACACCTGTTAAAGAGAAAATTAATTACATAATAACATTTTTTTTAAAATGAGGTAACCTTTGGGAGGATGATCTCTGCCTTGAAATTACTGTCTTCCTTTCTTTACCTGGCAGCTGTCACTGCTCAGGAAGGAGCTGGGCCAACTAGTCCACTGCAGGAGAAGTACAAGTGCTTGGGGTTATGGGAGACACTAATTTTCAAGGTATTAGAAGCTGTGTTTGTAGATGTACCGACAATCCCAGTTTTATGCACCTACACTGAGCAGTACCGAGACAGAACTAGAAAGCTACAACAGCACCTACATGAAAGTGAAAACGGGGTGAGGGCAGGGTTTGGAAGTTGAAGTAGACATAAGTTTCTCTTTCATGAGAGTGGGAAGTGCCAACAACAGCTATTCTGTGAAGCTCCTGTTTGACAAGTTACAGATGACCTCAAAGAACCAAAGGTGGCCCAAGTGTGGAAGAGTAGCAGGAGAAGAGAAACCCTCATCCCTGTGTGCCAACTTTTAAGGTAGCATACACATGTATGTGTGAGTCCCATGGTTCTCTCCAGTCTTTCCCAGGTAGCTGTGGTGAAGAGGACGACTTCAGCAGTTTGCACTGAGGCAGCTGAGTAGGGGAATACAATGCTGCAATATGTTGTCTGAGGAAGAGGTTCATCGGCAAAAATGCTGCTTCTGGTGGAGAGCAGGAGCCATATATACAGCACAAGGCTTAGTTCAATTTTAAATTGGACTATGTGAGAAAGTAATTTTCTAATTTTATTCTTCAACAATAGCAGAAAGTATTCCTCTTTCCAGACACTTCTGTTGGCTCTGAAGAGATGAGTCTCTTCTGAGCTATACAAAGGATAATTTCCTACCAGATACAGATTTACTTCAGAGTGACAGGTTGAGAACCAAGCCCTTTACCTCAGGTCAGGTAGCTTACTAATCCTCTGTCTCCAGGCCCTCCTGGCCAGTTTTTATTGTTGCAGAAGAGCATGTGGGTTTTCTAGTGATCTAACCCCATTTTTGACTACAGGTTGGTAGACAGCAGCACTGGCACAAACTTTTTCTAGCAGCCAGCCCTACTCCCATCTTCCTTCTGGCTCCTTTTCCCTTCAGTAACTTTTTAGCCTCAGTGTGCTTTATAGCCTCCACTGGGTTGCCACTGACAGTTCCTGCTAATGCCAGGAGCTCCTTTGCACAGCTCTGTACTTCCTGCCTGGCACTAGACAAAGCAAAACAGAGATCCTTAACCCCTTCAGCAGTCAGACCCTGTCCATTGTTGCCTCTCTCTGAAAAGCTCAGATTCTCTGTACCTGTGTACTTGCAGTGAGGACCCTGGAGCTCTGTCTCCAGCTGGCTCTCAATGTTGCCTGCGAAAGCTTGGGCAGGAAGATGAGCCAGTCAGTGCCAGCTCACTCCGCAGCTGCTGCCAAGGGCACAGAGCAGGTTTCTCACTTCACTCCCTGGGAAGCCAGAGTTGATTTTGGTTACGGGCTCAGTTTAGCAATGGGTGTCTGTTCCCCAGAGAGCAGTTATTAATAGCTTAACGATAAACAATGGCTGTGAATGCAGTGCTAGAACATCCTAGTGATGGCAACAAGAGCAGAGCAAAGGACACGTGCTGTGAAGTTGGTAATGGCATCTCCCTTCATGTCCTGCAGCAATGAGATACATGGATTAATTTTAAATGCATTGGTAACATATGGGTCTAAAATTATTTTGTGCTATTTAGAACAAGTCCTTTGAGTTAAGGCTGTTGTAAATTCTAATTAGTCTATGCTAATCTCCATAATAAGTAGCTATTCCTAATGCAGATCTAACTGATGAGGTCTGACAGCATTTTCCACACTTATTTATACACTGGCAGCAAGATGGTATCGTGCTAGTGTCAGAATGTTTGCTCAGGTTACAAAAACTGTATTTTCTGTACTCTACAGGGAGTTTGTATTTGCTGCAGGCTACTGCCTGTTCTTAGAATACCAATTTATGCCTGTTTGCTTGTATTTATTTATGCAGAAAACAGGGAAAACTCCTTCAGCCGTTCACGAAGCTCCAGCGTGTCCAGTATCGACAGGGACTCAAAGGAGGCAATTACAGCTTTGTACTTCATGGAGTCCTTTGCCCGAAAGAACGACTCTGCTGTCTCCCCCTGTCTCTGGGTTGGAACAGGCCTTGGTATGGTCTTAATCCTCTCCCTTAATCTGCCTGCTAGCGACGACTTACGGCAGTCAGAGCCGGTCATGGTGTCGCCAAGTGGTAAGAGTGCAGCTCTTCTGCTGTTTGTTATCTGTCTTGGTACAACTGGGGGTATAACTGCATGATTGGGCAGAAATTTCTTCAATACGTGTATCAATCAATGGTCACTCGCTACATGGAAGGCACAAAGGTAAAGATGCTCTTGAGGGACCTGCAGCTTCATGGGCGGAGACACTTTGGATGTGTTAGTTTTGGACATTACCTTGTGTCATGGGCAAAGTTAAACGCTTCTTTTGAGGACAGGGAAATTAGCAGAGTTCCTTCGTATTGTGAAATTACAGTCCTTTGTGCAGTCCTGTCTGGGATGCTGTGAACAGTTTGGCTGTCTCTCTATCAGAAAGCTGCAGAGAAGCAGAAGGGAGTTCAGGAAAGGAAACAAAAATGTTGGCAGGTTGCTGTACCAGGAGAGATCCTTGGCTTAGTGAGGGACAGATGGTGTAGCAGAGAGAACAAAGGGCTGAGAGAGGTCAGGTCTGAGGAGAGGCAGTATGTGCTTAAAAAACAGACAAAAAAGCAGAGAATGAACAGGAACAGAGGTTTCCCACCCCCACTTTGTTTAGAAAAACAATTCTGGAAGGTCACCAGACTAAGAAGAGCAGTTTTACTGCTGGGGAATAAATATCCTACTAGTATAATGTAGAGATAAAAAACAGGCTATCTTTATGGTATTCAATACCATGTATTATATCCATTATTATAGATATTGGCTGCCTGATACTTTTTCAGGCTGTTTGGTCACCTTCTTGTGTAGTCAGAAAGAACTGAGCAAGCAAGACTTGTCACCTTAGCTAGATTAATGCGTTTGCTCTATTTGCAAAAGCTGAATGTCAGCTGCGCTGCACGCGTTCGCAGCACTGACAACCAGCCTAATTGTGGTGCCAGTGTCAGTGAGAGCAAATTATGTTCTGCAGGCACTGTTCTGACACTGAAAGGAGCCGTGCTGACCTTCGCGTGCTTGGACTGCATGGGGACACTGACACATCCACCGTATGAAGTATGGAGGGATCCACACAGTGCTGATGACGGTGAAAAAACAAGGAAAAGGAAACTTGTCATGCATTCCCCTTCCTCCTCCCAGGATATGGGTGATCATCAATTTGCAGTCATTTGTTCAGAAAAACAAGCCAAAGTCTTCTCATTGCCTTCCCAAACATGTCTTTATGTCCACAACATCACCGAAACGTCCTTTTTATTGCGAGCAGATGTGGTCACCCTCTGTAACAGCGTCTGTCTGGCGTGCTTTTGTGCCAATGGGCACATCATGACACTGAGGTACTTATCTAACTAATCTTGTGGCAAAATTAAGCAAAGGGGTGGCACGGTGCTGCCACATTCCACTTGTGTTTGGTCCTGAGTGCCTGATGCTCTGCATTAACTCCCTGGTGGGTGCATTTAATTCCCTGCCTTGCCGCAGCTTCGCCTGTTCCTTGGGCTGTCTCCACATGGGGAGTTAAGGCAGGGGCACAGCAAAGCAAGCTCCTTTTTTTCATAGAAATCCCTTACCTGTGACTGTTGATGGGTGATGGTTTTTAACTATCGTAAAAAAAAAAACTCTTAGTTATGAGGCGTCAGGTATAGAGGAGTATAGAACTCGGCCATAGCAAGATACTGTTTATCCCACGTGAAGTAGCAAGTCCTACTCTTGCCATTTCTGCACCCCCTTTCCCTGGCCAGGCCATTTAAATTTTAGAAACTGCTGTCCAAAACAGCAAACCATGAGAAGCTGGAGGACAGCAAAGGCGATGCTGGAGCCTTAGTCCACAAGGTGGAAGCAGGGCCCTGCCATGCCATTTCCTGCAGATGTCCATGGGTAACTGGGGACAGACTTTACCCTACAAACTGCCCAGCCACATGGCACAAGCTGCACTGTGCCACATGCACATCCCAAATCCAGACAGTAGCAGAAGCCTTAGGGTCATTGAGGCAAGGCAGCTGAAACTTCTCTATTCGAGCAAATGGAGTATGATGAGAAGTCAGTCAGCATTTTTCATCTTAGAGCTGCACTTAACTGTTCCAGTTATGAAAAGCATAAACTTAAATGTCGGTTTAAATGCAGCCACAGAGCAGGTGTACCGTGTGTAGCAACTGGTGAGTAACCTGGCACTCTGCTTCTTCTCAGCTTGCCCAGTTTCCGACCATTGCTGGACATCAACTACTTGCCTGTAACAGACATGAGGATAGCACGGACCTTTTGCTTCACTAACGAAGGGCAGGCTTTGTATCTCAGCTCTCCCACGGAGATCCAGCGCCTGACGTACAGCCAGGAGATGTGTGACAATCTGCAGGTAGGGCTCAAACCCTTACTGTGGTGCCTTTGTGTGGGAGGGGCAGTGACCTGACTCGTCAGGGTTAAACTGGCACACATCTACTGCTAGACTTTGGTGTTTGAAATGAAGGCTGTGCTGCAGGAGCAGGACAGATGTGTTCCTCTTCACTTGCCCTGACTGAATAACGCCAAAGCAACAGAGAGAGGTCAGCAGCTCTATTGTTCTTTGGGCTTTTTCATGCATTGTCACTTGCACCTAGCGCAAGTGCAATAAGTCTTTGCAATTTTAGATATGGGCTGGTTTGGGGTTTTTTTACAATGAAAATGCAAACGAAAATGTCATTTACTGAAGAGAAGGAATTGTGAGAGGTTACAGGGAGAAATATGAGTAATAAAGGGGGGAAAAAAAAAAGGAGGGGGGAATAAGTTCTGGGTTATATAATTAGCAGTAAACTAGGATGGAAATATAAAAGAAATGGTCCTGCCAGCACTCATTATGCCATAGGGAATAACATGTGCTGAGCTGCTCAACTTGCATCACTGTCTGTCTCAAGTTGGAAAAAGCACTGTGAGGAATGAGCATTGCACACAAGCTTTTCCACATCAGAGAAGAGATTATTTTGTAGGGAACCAATTTTAAAATAATCAAAAGGTTTGACTAATGTATCTTAAACTATGGGCCTACAGTGAGAGGCTGTTACCTGCTAGATTGAATTTTTTTTATTAGCCTTAATACCACCATACAACAACCAAACAAAGGGAAATGAAGCCCTTGCTTCAATTTACTGCTGGACTAGGGCTGCTTTTATCTTTACTTTTATGCAGAAAAAGGTTTGCACAGTCATTATACATGTACAAAAAGCAGATGACCCAGTATCACATGCTACCTAGGAAAACAAAGCTAGGCTGCGTGAGAGCCTCCACTTAGGCTCCAAGGGCTGCAGTAATTTCTCTCCCCAGAGCAGGTGACTGTGCAGAGGAGCAGTAAGCGTGAGTCACAGCGCTGTCCTAGCACTCAGCCTCCCAGGAGCGAGTGCTTTGTGCAGCACAACAGCTGTATCTGCCTGTTGGGGCTTGGGTGAGCAAACACAGAGCTGAGCAACAGGGCAGCAACTGTTCCCAGTGCACACAGCCTCACTGGTGTCAAACACTACTGGGACTGTACACTTTCTTCATCAGTTTTATTTCAGAGAGCTGGCTTTTTCTAGTGCTGTTGCAAATAAATCTGAGCCTGAGATTTGTTTGGGTCGACTGCTCCAAGATGTGGCACCATGACAGTGCCTTGAGGAGATGTGTTTATTTAGCATTACTGACAGTACAGCAACAGTTGTGTGGAAGGTAAGGGGTTTTTGTTTAAAACAAAGCAAACAAACAAACACTATGATAATCAAACAAATAACAAACCACCAAACTCTCTGAACTGCTATCAAGCAGTGAACTCAGGTATGTTATAAAAAGAAAGCAAAGTGACTGCCCAGCTTGCCTGTGTAATCACTAAAGCAAAATAAATAATAAACAACAAAATATTTATTCAAGTATAGTGTCACCTCTGTGGTTTCTAAGCAAAATGTGATCTTATCACTGGTATTTTCATCCTGCATTACTTAAAAATTTTTGTCTCTGGTAATGAACATAGCCGTGGGCAGTGACAAGCCAAGTGCCTCTGAAAGCATGAGTGAATCTAGTTAGCCCAAGTATTTGCCTGTCAGGAAATACAAATGTTAAGTACACTATATTATTCACACAACAGACTCTTTTTAAAAACTAATTAATTAGATCTAGTGCATGTGGCTTGTTAATGCAAATAAAGAAAGCACCTAGGACTGGTTTGACCTCACTAGTTTTTGACATGGACTTTTTTCTGGCTTTGCTAGGACATGCTTGGGGATTTGTTTACTCCCGTGGAAACACCAGAAGCCCAAAACAGAGGTTTTCTCAAAGGACTTTTTGGAGGAAGTGGACAAGCTTTTGACAGAGAGGAGCTTTGTGAGTAATTTATTGGGTTTGGGTTTTCTTTTGGCAGAAAGTCACAGGACCCCCCTGCCCTTGTAATCTAGGAATGGAGTAGCACATGAGATTTAGATCATCCATAGAAAGAGAAAGTTGACATAATGAAGGGAGGGGAGGGTCCTTGGTTGCCTTCCATAATTCCTTCACCTTGGCAGTTTCTTTTGAGCAGTGGAGGGAGGGGCACACGACTGCACTGTAGATGTGCTGGTGACAGAGCAAAGTTTTCTACACGTGCCATCTGCCCATCAAATGGCATCACTGCTGCAAGGCTGCAGTGGGAGGTTGAGAAGCACTGACAGAGCCACAGCCAGAAACTCATTCCTGTCTGTCTCTCCCTTTCTCCTTTGCAGTCGGCGAGGCTACGGCAGGAAAAGCCTCTCGCAGCCTCGCTCAGCACATCCCTGGATCAGGTGGGATTGAAGGCGTGAGAGGAGCTGCAGGAGGAGTCATCGGGGACTTGACTCGTGCACGCATTGCCCTTGATGAGAGAGGACAGAAACTGGGAGAGCTGGATGAAAGGACTGCGAGCATGATGGCCAGCGCAGAGGCATTTTCCAAACATGCACACGAGGTAGGGCCCTGGCACCACACCCAGAACTAAGAACTGCCAGCCCTGCAATGGAGCCTTAGCTTCCCTTTGTGAAGGTCAAGGGCAGTTCTCTCCCTTCACCCAGTCATGCTGTTGGAGGCTGTACTCCTGTTAACTGACACACCGTTTTTCCTGCTCCCAAACAATGAGAATGCCAAATATAAACCTCCATTGCACGCCCCTTCCTTTCATGTTTCTGTAAATGAGCATCCATTGTTAGCTGCTGAATTTGGAACATGGCACTTCTCATCTTGCCTTTCTCACTAATTCATTATGATTTGTTTTTTTAAGCCACTTAATGCAGCACATCTATGCAGTAGGGCAGAAAACAGGTAGGTGGATGTGTATATAGGAACCTTTACAGATCTTATTGGGAAGAGGAGGAGAACATTACTAGTACAACACAGTGGTACAGTGATATAGAATAGGGCTTGCCTGGAATAGACAGCTTCTGTGCTTAGAGCTCGAAATGGAAAACCTCTTCCACCCCACGCTATTAAGACTGGGAATCAACTAAAGTGATTGTTCTTGAAGGTAAAACAATATTAAGAAATACTTCCCAAAATGCACGTTTTTCTTTTAATGTGCATCACATCTCTACACAAGACCTTTACATTTTTACTGGCTTTTGTATGTGTGAGGCAGGAAGAACGTGCCCCAAAATGCAAAAAGTTTATATATTCAGGGCATATCTACTATGCTCCATAGATAAGCTCCTTTTTATAGGAGTAAAAAGCAAGTTCCTCATTATTGTCATACCTTTATTTTTTGAAGAAGAAAAGTAGTTAAAGCTCCTTGGGGAAAATCTAACAAACATCAGTAGCGGGTAACACTCTTTTTAATGTAATAACTAAGAAACTGAATATGAGATCTCAGTGGACTCATACGACGTCCTGATGACACTGTTAGTGAAGTACTGCATTGCTCTTCCTTATTTAATCATGAAGTTTGTGACAGCTAGTGGGCCTAGGTCATGTGTGGTACCTCATACGTAGGGCAGTGTTTTATTGCCATTTTTTGTTTTTTTTTCCCATTTCTGTAGGTGATGCTGAAATACAAGGACAAAAAGTGGTACCAGTTTTAGACTTTCAAAGAAGCTGCTTGTGGCTTTATTAAGAACACTGTTCAGGGAAGCAACATTAATTCCCAAATCTACCAGTCACTGGCCAGAGACAGTTTTTTTCTCCTAGAAGATGTTTTCCTGTTACTATTATTGGATTCATCACAGTGGACGTCAAGGAGGAATTTTACAGGCCATGAGATGGAAGCTGGAATCATGAGGGTCTTCTTCCAACAGCTGGCTCATGCGGTGGCCAATTTTTTTCCAAAAGGAACTCAACCATCACTGTGGCATGTAGTTTTTCAGGAGCTGTAGGTATGAACTGTGGGGAGTGCGTCTGGTTAAAAATATTCTGTACAAATTCGAATGTTAATGCACTTAGAAAACTTTGCATGACTAATTGCCATCTTAAAAAAAAAAAAAAAAAAAAAAAAAAAAAAAAAAAAAAAAAAAAAAAAAAAAAAAAAAAAAAAAAAAAAAAGAGAAAAAGAAAGCATGTTGTGACCGAAGAAAATGGGATTCATTTCTATTCTGAGAAAAAAAAACCCAAACTTAAATAGCAAAAATCTTTATTTTTTAAAAGTGACATTATAAAAAGCCAGTACATTTCAAGCATGTTTGTTACTGTTTTCCACATAAAAATGAGTTTAGCTGCATTTTCTTACCTTGCTTGAAATCAGTGCTCTTTAACTCCTAAGAAAAATAGATTCAAAATCCTATGCCCAAAATAGACAGATTTTACAGGTAGCTGAACAGGCACTATCTGAAATATCATTAAACCATGAGCATAGATGGTTTATTTGCAATTCAGAGCACGTGACACGTCACTCTTATCTGTACTTTTTAAAATGTGCTCCAGATTTTATCTCAGTTGTCCTTGAAGAGGGCCACAGCACTTTTCATCCCCATGGAGTCTGTATCACTTGGTTGCCTTATTTCTCAGTAGCAGGAATAGAAAACCACTTTTGGAAACCACTTCTTCAAGTTAAGAAAGGTAATATGGGAAACCACAGTCCTGTCAAATTCTGCTCACAGAGGCTGCTTAGCAGCTTGCAGAGCAGTGATGCTGCTCAAGTGCTCAGTTGAAATTATGTGAAGGGACCTGCACAGTAACCCCCTCAAAACTTGTGAGAGAGAATGAGAGAGAGAGAGAGAGGGATCTGAGCAGCAAGACTTAAAGATGGGCTGGGGAGGAGTGTGGAAAACCATTGTGAGCATACACATATAACACACATATATAAAATGACACCATGGGTGAGTGGCAATTGATTCTCTGCTCTCACTGCTAAAAGTAATTTGCTTCTGCTTCAAAGTGGTTTGCTTGGTTTCTACAGTGAACTCTGGAGAAAACTCTGCAGCTGCAGCTACAGGAGAGAACAATAAATAAAAACCTATTGCCTGTCCATGCAAATAGATTCCTAGTCCATAAGAATGCTCCACATTGGCCTACAAGAGCCTCACTTCCACACAGTGGAACTCTTAATTTAGACATTTTTCCAAGATTGGCTTGGAAACAAGGCACTAAAGATTTGTTTTCATGTGCCTGGACATAGTTTCAAAACAGAAAGTGAGGAAGAGCTGAAAAAACAGCAGTTAAAATTTTTCTATACAAGAGGAGTGACATCCTCTGTCCCTTCAAGGAATCCTGATGGACACTGATGCAGACAGGCACCATCCCCTCCTAACTAGACCTTAACTTAACTTCACCGGTGTTTGTGTCATCATAATTTTCAGATGATTCCTCTCAAAGATGTCTGTCCCATATTCTTCCTTTACCTACAATAAAATGCAGCCCAGGAAATTTTACCATCCAGAAGTCTGGCCTCACTGTTGGCCCACTGCACAAGTTAAAGGGTTGGAAGAGATTCGAGGCATTAAGTTTCACATTCACATTGTAGCACAACCAAATGTCATCATTTACAGGACTTTTACGTTTCTCTGTAGGCAAAGTCAAAAATGATGGCCCTGACAGGTCTAGCTCAATTGGGAGTGAGACTCAACAAGTTCTTCTGGCACAGGAAAAAAACACTCGATGTTGTGAGAACTGTAGAAACTTGTTGGGAAAAAAAGGCAATGCCTGGGTTTCTGCTGAGAGCTAAGGAATTGAAGTTGTCCATGACTAGAGAGGATGTCTCTGTCTGTGAGTGTGTGTTTAAGGAAATGCCAAACTCACCACTCTGATGCCAATAGGAACTGGGCTGGGGAATTCCTTCCAGTGGCTGGGTCACAGAACTGACCATTTGTGTCCATAAGGAAGCACTGCTCTAACCAGGTGTCTAGAACGAGAAATAAATGAGAACATTACAGCAATTTGATCTTCTGTTTAAACATATACGCATTGGCCTGTGCTCTGGTCTGTAACCCAAAACCACTAGTCTCCCGACAACAAAATCATTTGGGGCAGCATTCAAACCCTCCAGCAGCCAACTTACTTTCCATGATGAACTGGTGCATCACAGTCAGCAGTGCACCAAGCAGCCCTACCGGTGGTGCTCAGGCAGCCATCGGGTCACTGCAATGATGAGGAGGGCACCAGGTCTGCCTAAGATTTTGGCTGGACCTCACGTGGGAGGCTGATACTGCTGAGCCCCTCATTACCTTTTTCAGCGGAAATGGCATCAGGCTGGAGCTAGAGTCCACTTGCTTGTTTGAGAATCATGTGAAAATTTAAGAGCAACTTTTAACTGCTAATCACTGCAGCACACCCAGAGAGAAAAGTGTCTTCAACATTTACACAATGCCTGACTGACTTTGGCTGCCAACAGTCTCTAGCTTAACACCAGGGTAAAAAAACCTGCCAGTAAATTTTCATTTGCATTTTTATGCAACAGAGAAATGAGAATTTAGCAGCCCTCAAACTTACAATTTTTATTACTAAACTTTTAAGGAACCTTTCTCTAGTACTCCCCATCAGGTCACAGCTTTCCACTCTTATATATTTTACATATTTCCAGACAGTTAGTTACCAATTGCTATTTCTGTTAAGTTCACCACTTGTGACTATAATTATCAATTTTCTTGTAGTCTGTAGAGATCTAAAAAGTTGTATATGTTTGTATATAGAACATTCTATATATATATAATATATATATGTAATGTATATGTTGTATAAGTTTGTTAGTGCACACTGTTAAATGCTTTCTATCAAGATTTACCATGTATGTGGAAAAAAACCCATCACTTAAAAAGTTCAATGAGGGAGGAAAACTTCTTGCCTGGTTGATTTATTGTGAAATGAGGGGGAGTGTGGGATTTTTGAAAGGCTTGACCTGAACACTACTAAAGGTTGTTAGTGAAAGGCATAAAGAGCTGCAGCATTCCAAGCAACGAGCACAGCATCTGACTGTAAGAAGGACTGTAAGACTGTGACTGGCTGTAAGAAAATCAAGGGCACTGGCTGTCACTGGATGTTGAAATCTTTCTGTGCTTTCACCTTTCCCACTAAGACAGCACCACCTCAAGCAAAATCCTAAGCTTAACTGTATCTTCAACATCGCAATCCTCAGCTACAACAGGCCAGATTGGCTGGAAATATTTGTCCAATTTAAAATGCCGCTTGTTCATTTGGATACCTTGTTCTCTCACATTCTTTCCAGGAGCTCTGTCGTGAACACGTCCAAAATTAGATACACAGACCTTCCAACACACACCTTTGGGTTTGACCAGATGTTTTCAATCTTACGTCTAGAGCTGTAGATAGATAAAGAAAATGCTTTAAATTAGATTATTTAGAATCTTGCAGAGTTCGCAAGTCTTCAGTGAAGTACAAGCTATTTTATTCATTAGAAAAAAATTCCTAGAGCTTTAACTTAAATTTGAAATCTTGAATTAAAATTCAGGACAATGGAAATTTTGTTTTGTATAATTATCTGGGGAGTTTTTAAATTTTTTTGATGTTCTACGGTTCAGCTCCATACATCAGATAGACATTCCCTACAGTACCAAAACATAGCTTGGTACATAAATATTTGACAGAAATACTCTATTTACTACAAATATTGTATACAATTATCACATAACCCCCCTCTAAAACAGTATATATTCTTTTTCCAGAATCCCTCTCACACCACAGTATGATGAGCATACAAACATTTTTTTTTTTCAGTAGAGGACTTGACAAGTGAAGAAACCACTTGGAACTTGAGAGCTGCATTCAATCTCAGGCCTCCTTCATTCACAAACCATGTGTGTTGTAACACAGGCAAACACCCAGTTTCTAGTTAATTATGCCCCTCAAATACCCTGGGCCATGCCCCTGTACATCCTTTTCCATACCTTAAAGGTGAATTCAAGCACAGCATATTTCAGTCCTGAATGTTTCTCGTGCCTTGGTATGGTCTTAGTAAGAACACACTCTCTCTCATTAAGGAACAGCTTGTGGCCATTTGTAGTCAACTCTTCATCTTAGGTGTATAAGCAATAGTCACGTAAATGAGTGTTTCCATTCATGTGTTTTGTTTTGTGATTAAATCAACAAATCAAACATTGTACTTTTTTAAATAGCAACAAATATTCAGATTCAGTGTCGAGGAAATGTGGACTTAATATGTGTGGGGTTTGTTAACAAGTCATTACCTGTCTCTCAGAATGAAGGCTAATCTGGGGTGAACCACACACTCCTGCGCTAACCATGTCCTGTTTCCACAGGTATCCTAAATCAGTGTCACAAAACTAAGGCATCTTTAACTGAGGCTGTTTTGAATCCCCAGAAACAACCAAAAAAAAAAAAAAAAAAGGGAAAGAAAATAAAGGAAAGAATTGATACTGGTTGGTGTAGATCTGTTTTTTTCAATCTCTGCTCCTAGATTCATTACATTGTTTCAAAAGTGCATTGTTTGTGTAAAGGCTTTGGATGGAGTTTACAATATCATTCAGGAGTACAAAAAAATGCAGTTGTGGTTATTGCTGTGGTGGGGATGGTCACCTTCCTTCCTCCAACAGCTCCTGCAAGGACAAAACCCATACACCAGCTAATGATCCCATGGTTTACTGCAGGGAGCTCACATGGAGCTCGTAATTGCAGTACCAGCCCTCAGGGGTATTCCTAGCCTTGTACTTGGGCTTCCCAACCAACCAATGGCACCCTTCACATCATTTTCCCTTCAGGTTAAAAAAAGTAACCTACAAGCTGAGCTCTCAGAAGGGCAGAAATGTGCTCATCAAAGGGCACTTCCCAACAGCATGTTTGAGTTGTTCTGCCAGGAGAGGCTCAAAATGTCAGCCAAAGGTACTGAGCTTCCAGCTCCCTCTTTTCAGCTGTGTATTTGCAGGAAAAACTTCACATCTCTCTTCTAGATGAAATGCAAGTGGCATGGGAGAAAGGCAAAAGGACCAAACCAGATCAGATTACAAGTGTCATTAGTTGTCACCTGCCTCTCACCACTTCTGGTAGGCAGGGCAAGAAGGAAA